TACTTCCTTGTGAAAAGAACCATTTCTGTCTTGGTAGGATTGACATAAAGTCCACATTCCTTGAACCAGATATTTACCAGACCGAGTGCGTTTTGCAATAACTCACTACGGACCTGCAGATATTCGCCCGTTGCCATGATTGCTACGTCATCAGCGTTCCCTATGACTTTAAAACCGGTGCCCTTTAGCCTTACAAATAGGGCTTTAACGGTAAGATTCCAGCGTAGAGGGGAGAGAACGCCCCCTTACGGAGTGCTTCTGGTCACGTACTTTGTAATGGAGCTATTCCTCAGTTCTGATAAAATAGTTCTCCTTTCGAGAAGGAGCCCAACTAAATCCACCAAACCCCGCTGCACCCCCGCCATAAGGAGGGAGTTAAAAATAGACTTCGTATAGACATTGTTTTTAAATCGTCGATAGGATTTCGTGAAGTGCGGTCTCCACGGATTTTCCATTGGAATATGCAGGCTGATTGGAGAAGCGGTTGTCACTTTTTATATTCCGTCGAATGTATACGTCGATGATCCTATCTAGAGTTTTAAAAAATAATGAAGTGATGCTTTTTCTCCTGACATCCTTCGATACACCTTGATAGCAAAACCATGGTGAGAAAATCGCTACAACGACTGGCATGAGTGTGCAAAACAGAAGCATTTCGACGTCGGAATTCAAGGGCGAGAAACTTTTTTGAAGAATCTTAATAATTTTCTCCTATTCCCCAATGTTTGGCCTGTATCTGGTTTGGATCGGAAGATATTTGATTTAGTCCATTTTTCCCACAAACAGAACACTGTGCATCGCTTGAAGTAGTTCTCAAACTAGGGCTGCTTCATATAGCCATAGAGCAGGCTACCAAAAGAACTGTACTACATGTCGCTAGAGCTAAGCTTGAGTCCTCGCTCCCTCTAGCGTTATTCCCTACAGACGACATAGACAGGACCATAATATTTGAGAGGAGATTTAGAATAGAGTTATGCAGCAAATCAACCATAAGCGTATCTGCTTTCGAAAGACTACTTGGAGCTGGCACTCTGCACTGGTACACAGACGGCTCGAAAACGTTAGGATCTTTGTGGCCATGGAAATATCTGAGTATTTTTCAGGCACAGGTTAACTTACTTGGTAAGAAAAAAACTTCAAATTAGCATGGCTGCCCGACCACAGGGGAATAGAGGGCGGACTTTCTCGCAGGAGAGGCGGCAGCCATCACTCTAAAAGGCGCCGAACCGTTCCTGGGTTCCCCCCATAACTTCTACGCTAAGTCCTAATACTTTTACGGAACAGCTCAAGATGGGGTGAACGCACTAAGGGATCTAAACTGCGGTGGCTCAGTAGGACTGCGCTAGGCAAATAGTTTACTGGAAGGGTAAAATAATTAAAGATTCCAAAACTTAATAAACCTCCGAAAGGTATCACTGCACACTAAAAGGGAATATAGTATTAAAGCTGGGAATATGGCCAAATGATCTAAGTCGGTTTTGCGACCAGTGAGACACCACTAAATATTCTCTCAAAGTATGAGGCCATCTGAAGAAAACGCGAGAGAAGTCTAGACTAGATGGGGCAACAACTGGAGCACATTCATTCCCTCCCCCAAAAGCGCTACTGCTTTTTCTGAGGAATCTAGGTTTAGATCGCATAATTTGTATATATTTATCGAAGGCGCGAAGCATAATGTCGATGAGATTTTCGAGTTTTTCGATGGAAAGTTGTCCTTTTTAAAGGTGTGCGCAGCTCCTCGTAACTTTTTCCAAGCCGCTACATCTTAACTGAGATATTATAATTTTGCTGAGACCTGAAGTCTTTCACAAGTTTTCGATACTTATTTTTTATCAGGGCCGACTTCACACAGTATGGCAACAGAACCCAAACAAAAAAGTACACTAAGCAAAGTATAGCCAAGTGAACAGACGTAACCAAAGGTCCTTTAACAACAGCCACCAAAAACACAGAGCGACAACTTTAGCCACCACAACGACAGCAACTTGGCCCTAACAAAAAACTTTTTCTGCTAGCTTGCCACATTTATTTTCAGCAGCACACGCCTTTTTTGCCTCTTTCACTGTTTTTTATTAAGCACCACATTTAAGTTTATTTTCACTCGTAAAGTATCTATGCATAAGCACACACATACTTGTACATATTTATGTATGCACATCTCAGTGTCTGACTTCAATTGCCGTTGCGCCTGCATTTTATTGTTGTTTACTGCATTCTAACCGCCACCGCCGACGACTTGGCTGGTTGGCTGACTCACTGACTGGCGGCAGTGTCATCGCATCAGTTGAGTGCATTATTGCCAGCTTTGTTGTCGTAGTAGTAGGTAGTTGCAGCGATGCCGATGATATCCTTGAACGAGATCATCAATCTTTTTTTGCGGGCGCTGGCAACATTCAACTTGCTTCAACACTTTTTGCGCTCTACTTACCACTTTTTGCTCACTTTTCCCCTACTCTTTATTTACATTACACTAATTTTTCTTCGTTTTTTTTTGTGTATTTTTTATTTTTTTTTGCTCTTTATTGGTCCAGTTCGCTGAGCTTTTTCCATCTACCCTCAACCCACACTGGCTTTGTCCGTAATGCCCTTGTTTCAAAGCAGCAATTTTTTCAGCTGTTACACCTTTTTAGTTCGCCTGTGGAGTGCCTGCCTTTCTTTCGTATGCCCTTCTTTTTACTTTTTACCTTTTACACACTTTCAGCATTTCTTTATGCACAAACTCAGTTGGTTTTTTTGTGAAAGATTTCACGATTTCTCGATTTCTGGATTTCTCTTTGTTTTCACACCAGTTTCACGTTGCTCGTTTAGTTGGCTGCCCTGCTCGCTCGGCAGTTGTTTCCTTGGCGAAATTTCTCCCTTTCCTGCACTTCCCTTTCGGTCGCATTTAACTTCGTTGTTGTTGTTGTTGTTGTTAATGGCTATTGTACTATTTATTCAGTTGCTGATTTTCCTAGTATTGTTTGCACAGTAATTGTTGGTTTTAGGCTGGTTACTTCTATTGTTGTTGTTTCTGTTGCGGCTGCATGCAGTGACCTCGAACTTG